TAATGACAATAACATCTGTCAATTTATAAATTGTTATGTTATCAGATGATGACGTGGATCCTAATCAAATTATTGGTTGAAAGCGAACACGTGACTAGGCATTTATTTTACCTAACGCGTAATTTGGATAAAGACCGGTCATTATCCAATGGTAATGACCGGTCATTATCAAAGTCATGTTATAAAACATCATTTTATAAAACAAATAAAACATAAAATTGTAAAACAAATAATACACATCATTTTGTTCGGACATTAGTAAAATTACCCACACTCGCTACCTTCAAAACAGTCTAAAACACCCTCGGGCGTGTTAGACTGTTCCAAAGGTACCTCGTGTGGGTAATTCTTACTAATGCCCTCACTGATGTGTATTATATGTATAATATCTAATATCTTATTTTGTGTGTATATCCAACCCGCATACAATCTCCCCTACCCTATGTCCTAAGGCATCTAGTTCTAGCTTTCATCCACATGTCTACCCTTTTGTGAACGTATAGAACGAAAAAGGTGAATAAAATAACCAAATATCATAACAGTTATATGACAAACAATTCCAACTTTTAAAAAAAAATTAAGCATTTATAAGTCACACACTTTTCTGAATCACTGTAATGAAAACTGAAATCATCCAAATTTTACCATTTTCATAATCAGCAGTGAAATCAATCAAGCTGTATTAACTAACCTTTGAATGAAATCCAGCACATCAGCAGGTAGAAACAGTATTTCTCCGCCATATTATCCATCTTGCTGATGACGATCCCGTCAAACCGGAGTTGTCCCGAACGTCTCTCAAACTTCTGATATGTATACGATTCCGTTCGCCCGCCCGCTATCAAAATCTGCCTCTCACAGACGTGCGTGCGTCGCCCAAATCAATTAATGGCGGTTGAAAATATATTACAGAAACCAAAGTCCATTAAAAGATTTTTTTCTTTCCCTATCATTTTTGTCCGCGTCTGGGGTTCAAGTGTAAGCATGATAGGTAAACTAAACACAAAGTGGCTTACTTTTCATGTCAAAACAAATAAAGCAGTCTGATAAAATAAAATAGTTGTGTGAAAGACGGTGCATCATACCTTATACATTCATATACAGTCATAAGATATAATTATCATAATGGCACGTTGGTACATGCCCATTTGATAATTGCAGAAAAGAAAACTTTAGATATTATTACCTGGTGCGAATTTATCATATTTGAAAATTGAAATTGTCTGGTTGGTGTCAAGGAAAACGAATGCGAACGAGTGTCAAGAATGCAATCAGGAGGTACTTCGGGGTTTAGGAGGGATATTAAAGACAATATATCATTCAGCACTTCCTTTAAAGGTCTACCTGAATAATATTGATTATGTAATATCTTCGCAATTATGTTACCGCAGCAATGCTCCTGACAATTTACTTTTAAATTTAGACATCCTTATCTTCAATACCCTAACTTTTACTTAAACTTTAAAGGAAACCTCACCCCAAGAAATAACTTTACTTCATTCTGAGAGATTTATTATATTAAATATCTTCATTTATATACCTCCTGTACAATTTCTTAAGGAATATTGTACATCAAAGGGCAGGAATACATCTAATTTTTTCAGAATACCTATACTTATTCTTTGGAGTGAGGTTTCCTTGTAAGTAACTTGTGATATAGTTTCGTTAAAGAGTAACGTTTAGAAGACCTTAATGTTCCCCCACTATCATTCAAAAGAGTAATCACATTCTTTATTTAGATATTCCATGAGCAAACCCGGTAACTGTTTCGTGCGAAAGTGAACCTTATGGCCGTTCGACACAATTCGCCATTTTGCTGACGTAGGACTATGTTAGCGACTGGTGCTGTCTTTGACGCGGCATGCGACAGCTGCATCGTAAAATAAGGAAAATTAATGCTCACTGAAAAAATGCGTTGAATTAATGTCTTAGTACAGGGTATAGACCTATTTATATTTAACCATGTATATACATTTAAATGATATATGAATGAATCTTAACAAAAGCTGAAAGAGATTATGAAAGAACCTGCATAACTATTCATATCTAAAAATGTGTACGTAAAAAATGACTCATTCAAGGTTTCCTTTGAGGATACAATTTATTTTCTAGATGATAAAGCATATACAGGAATAGATTGACAACTTTTGGGAATGGTGACAACAGAGTAAACAGACAATGATAAAAAGAATTAATGGGCTTATGGACTTTAGAAATATACTATTCTTTATGTCCAGACATATCAGTATGGTTGAAAAGTACGAGCCGGTACTATTAAATCTTTACTTTTAACATCTTATTATGACTACTTCCACTTCAAGAACAACGCAAAAGGGCACAAATTAATTTTCCTCAAATGAATTGAATCAAAAACCACTTTATAAAGTACAGTAAAATAACATGCGAATTAAGTTACAATGGTGACATCTAAAGACATAATTAATTTTTCAAAATGCAGTATGAAAAGTAATTAGTTCATTATGATCAGATGTGAAATGTGGTGCTAACAAATAAATTAATTAAAAATAAAATATACTTATTCATAGCCCAAATGGCAGTGAATAAAGCGAGGGCCTGAATTCACAAAGGAGGTTCGTCGACAAACCTAGGGTTATGTGCGTCATATGACGCGTTTTGACTCGTTTCATACCAAGGTTTGTCTGAAAACGTCATATGACGCACACAAACCTCCTTTGTGAATTCGGGCCAAGGAGTTTAAGTCGACCCTCTTATTATGAGGGAGGAGCCGCGAGAGCAGGAAAATGTGAGAAACAAATTAGTGAAAGTTTAGACATATTGTGAAAATAATATAAAAGGCACGTACACAAACACAAATTTTAGTTAAAATATCTGCAGAAGAGCCCTTTCTCTATATCTGTACAGTAATTCTGAACAACCGTAAACTCACTAATGTCTGTTTTAACTATAAAGTCTTTTTGTAAAATAATTCCCTTGGTGTTTTTTTTTTTTTTTTTAGTTTGCTTTTTTATAGGAGACATCTCTTAACATCATGAGTTAATGAAAAAATGGGTACATTTTGTAATCGTTAGTCTCAGTTAGTGGCTGTATTTACGAACGATAGTGCTTTGAGCTATACATTTACAGCACATGATTGGTATTTTCACTTCTTATTTATTTGGGGATTTACTCAGATACATAAGTCGTAAGTAATGTTCTTAATCATTTCAAATAAGTGCTACAACAATACCACTTCTACTTCTACAACAGATATTACTACTACTACTACTACTACTACTACTACTACTACTACTACTACTCATACAATGATACTGCTGCTCAGACATAATGGTGAAACCCATTACATCAACCATTCTTAACCTCTTTTCCGACTGGTCAAATACAACAGGTGGACATTAGTGAGCTTAATAATACGTTATTATTACAAAAGAAAAGCTACATGTATAATTGCAAATATTTTTAATGAAAAAGGGGGACGACTTTACTGAACGGCAACAAAAATTGCAATATGGGGGGGGGAGGATATATTGTGCTCAGTACAAAATACTTGAATGACGAAATTTCTCTCTTTATAGTTAATTCAATGATGTTTAACTCCTCTGTCAGTTGAACCTTTTATTTCACTGACCCGATGCATCTCTTAATCTAATGACGTGAGTCTAATGTATGACACTTTTCCCGCGACAATAGCTCCACGTTTAACAGCAAACCAATCAAATGTCAACCCTATACCTAACCTTACCCCTAATATATGAACCTAACATGGTAGAGCCCGATCGCAACCTTACACAAATCCCCATTGCACACGGGGCGTTATTTTACTGACGTAGCCTTGCGTCACCGACTGACGCGATCTTTTGACCTTATGAGCATGATGTCCTACAAAGTGTGACACTGCGTTGAATGGTGAGTGCATGCGAACAATGTCATACATGGGCTCTAAAGAACATCAAAAATAATGTCCAAATGTCTGAAGTATTGGCTGAGATATGACCATCTGAATAAATATATTTCCTATAGGAACTCAGTGTTATATACCCTGGCTCCTTATTTGGACATTATTTTTGATGCTCTTTCGGAGAATGAAGAAAAAAGTGAGAAATTCTAAAAATAGATTTGTATAGCGTCACAGCTTTGGTACTCTATTAGCGCAGGTAATAACGCAAGCGAAATGACGCCCCGTGTGCGATGGGTTTAACCTTAGAAGTATTGACGCAATAACGCCCGGAGCAAGTGTCACCGGAGCAAAAACTTGGATCAACCACCAGTCTGCTACTGTTGATAGGGCGAAGTTCGTAGGCATTATTTAATCAGTCTTAGAGGCATATTGTTTCTTAAAATAGACACAACCCTAACCCTTACCCTAGCTCTAGGTCTCATCCTAACCCGTCACCTACCCGTACCTGATGGACACGGTAATCTTTACAAATTAGCTAATGCCTCAGTTACACCTTTGCGTATTTTGCTTGCGTATTGCTGCGTATTTATGGCAAGCCGTTTTAACAATTTTATTCCTATTTCTTGATATCAAGAACTTATTTTCCGTTGTAAAGCAACGGCGATTCTTGATATCAAAAATCCATTGCTTGATTTCATGATTTCAATTCTTGATGTAACATGTTAAAATTGCTTGCCATAAATACGCAGCAATACGCAAGCCACATACGCAAAGGTGTGACTGAGGCATTACTGAACTACATTATGTGGTGGCTATTTTCAGAAACAAGCTTGCCCCTACGACTGATTAGATAATGCCTACCCTGACGGTGGGACGAATTTTGCGACATGTAATCTCGTCCATCAGTCACCACCGCCACCACCTCCGCCGCTGTCACCACCTCCACCACCGCCGCCACCACCGCCACCACCGCCACCACCACCTCCACTGCTATAACCGCCACCACCTCCACCGCTGTCACCACCCCCACCACCGCCACCACCACCTCCACTGCTATAACCGCCACCACCTCCACCGCTGTCACCACCTCCACCACCGCCGCCACCACCTCCACTGCTATAACCGCCACCACCTCCACCGCTGTCACCACCCCCACCACCGCTGCCACCTCCACCACTACTGTAACTGTGGCTATGATCCTGATGATCACTGTGATCCCCGCCTTGGCCGCTCTCCTTTGGATCCGGGCTCGTTTCTGCGAGATAAGAAGCGACAATTTTAGTGTTAGTAATTAAGTAAGTCGAAGTTACGAATATCTTATCATTATCACTATCATAAATATTATTACTGCAGTAGTAGTAGTAGTAGTAGTAGTAGTAGCAGTAGTAGCAGTAGCAATTGTGGTAGTTTTAGTAGCAGTAGCTAGTAGTAGTAGTAGTAGTAGTAGTAGTAGTAGTAGAAGTAATTGTGGCAGTTGTAGTAGTAGAAGTAGTAGTAGTAGTAGCAGTAGTAATTGTGGAAGTTTTAGTAGAAGTAGTAGTAGTAGTAGTGGTAGTAGTAGTGGTGGTAGTAGTAGTCATCGTCGTCGTCGTAGTAGTAGTAGTAGTAGTAGTAGTAGTAGCAGCAGTAGTAGAAGTAATTGTGACTGTTGTAGTAGTAGTAGTAGTAGTAGTAGTAGTAGTAGTAGTAGTAGTAGTAGTAGTAGTTGTAGTAGTAGTATTTGTTGAAGTAGTAGGAGGAGGAGGAGAAGGAGTTGGAAGAGTACAAACAGTAGGAGGTGTAGAAGAAGGAGAAGAAAGGGAAGAAGTGGAAAAAGTAGAAGAAGAAGGAAAAGAAGAAGGACAATATTAACAACAACATTATACATACCATTATTTTCAGGCGTGTCTTCTTTTGGCTTCTTCTCTTCTTTCTTGTCGCCCTCGTCTGCATTGTAGACTTCTTGCGATAAAACAAAGTTATCATCTAACGACAGCAAAAGGGAAAGGGAAAGAAGGGTAAAAGGGATAACGTTGCTCAATGATTATGTGTTGAAGTTCGGGCTTCCACAGAGCAAACATCATGACCTAAGACTATTCTGGCAGACATCATGGCCAAGACTATTCTTGAGTATAAATTGATTTGATCGAGGCAAGGCACATGCAGAAAATGACAACGACCCCACTGCCCACACCCCACCCCTCCCCATCCCAGGCGCGCCATCATCCCCCCTCCCCAGAAATGAATTCTTCTAAAATCGCGCCTGCAACATGTACTAAAACAGACAAACGGTTTTATCCTGGCAATTTTAGAACTATTTAGAAGCATTGTGCACAACAACCTCTTCAGAAACATCCGATGTCGTGGAAGTACCATGTAGTTGGCACATAATGATTAAAGTACTTGTTTCTTTTCATGTCCAGCTATTTTCTGACCTGTTCCAGTCGTTGTCTTAGGCTCTCCCGCTCTTGGTGCTTTATGTCCTCCCGCTATCCGCTCGTCATCCTCTGCCATGCTCCCAGCTGGTTTCTTGTTGAGATCTGAGTATCTGTACTCCAGTGTTGAATCCTTGCCTAATTAAGGATTCAAAGTGAAAAATTATGGTAATTAAACATCAATTCGATTTACCAATATGGTATATACAACCACCCCGTCCTTTTCCAGACTTTGAGCATATTTCAGGGACCCGTTTCACAAAACTTGTAATTGGTGACAAATGACAGTCTTTGTTAAAAGCTAATGAAATCCTTGCTTCTGATTGGCTATCGGCAGATTTGTCACTGATTTGTGCCATTCGTCATTAAAAAAAGGCTTTGTGAAACAGGTCCCTGTACTTCTGTGTTATGCCTGTCAAATTAAAATCACATCCGGGGAAAAAAGGGTGACAGCCTCATTCGAGTTATTGGTACCCCCCCCCCCCCCCGTCCAATCTTTTACTAATGTTGTGAGTCTGTACACAATCGGAACAGACAGCTTTTAAAAAGCAGCTTTAACATTCAGGTAGCTTTAAAAGTCTAGACATGAGTTTGAATTTGCCACTCTCCACCCAGGTGAAGTAAATGGTCACGCGGTAAGAAGTAACTCCTTGAAAACTCTTCTAAAGGCATTTCCAATTGCCTTGTCCGTCACCTATTGTCATATGCGAGCATGACAATGAGATATTACGAAACCTGAACATGATTTCTATCCGATGTACAACAGGTTATTGAAAATGCCCTTTAGTTATTTTTTTCTAAAATAGATAGTGTTAGTAGAGTATGTTTACAGTTAACGACTAAATTATTCATACTCTGACTATTTTTTTTATTTTTTAAGTACGTGAAAAACGTATGTTTCTTGAGAATGTGATATATTAAAGCTTACATCTAAAAGTACTCATCAAAAGCACTATTTCAACCAGTCCACATTTCATTTATTTCATGAGTTACGACAAAACACAAAAACATAACCTTTTATAAGGGGTATGAATATTTAACTGTGTGTAGCAGCTGCGCTCTTTGAATGTCCATATTATTAGTATTATTATGATTGTTATTCAAATGACTTTTCCGCTACTATTTACCTTGATCACGTCTCTTAACGTAGACCACGTAGACCATGAAAAGGCCGAACATGCACACGAACGCGCATGCGATGACGATCCCGATTATCAAACCTGCATGAAGGACGAGGAATAAATAATAATAATAAATAATATGGTTATTTATATAGCGCCGGTATCCGCCAGGTTCTGACGCTCATGGCGCTTTACACATATTACCCTGGTCGTAGCCGAAATGACATAAATAAAAACAGTGGAATATCCTTTTCATCACTCACTTCCTAATGACCGTCATCATAGCGAATATCAGAATTATCATTATCAACGAAATAATCATGGTGTAATTTGAACCATACTCATCATCGCCATTATCATCATCAACGACATATTAATCATCATCATCATCATAACCACCATATGTTGCATGACCATCGCCATCACATTCAGGATCAAGATCACTATCATCTTTTATAATGATCAAATCCCCATTCCTATCATTATTTTGACCATAATCATCATCGGTATCATCGCCCCTATCAATATCTTCCTAATTACAACCATAATCATTTCATTCAATATCATCAAGATTAACAGGGTCCACACATCTGTATTGTAAACACTATCATTGCCGTCACCATCAACAATAACAACATCATCGTGATCATGATGATCATCATCTTTATTGTTATAATCATGAATATCACCGTATGATGGTTAATTCTATCACATCCATAATCATTATCTTCATCACGAAAAAGAGTCTCTATCTTAGTTATCTTCAAATGGATTGGTACGCTTACCAACATTACTACTTGAGCTCTGACCGCCACCACCACCACTTTCGGTGTCTTTCGTAGTAACATCGGGAGACTCGGTGGTCGACCCAACATATCCGTAGCCGCCCTTCACCATGGCTCGTATGGACATCGTATCCACGTCCCGCAGGGCTTCGCCGGTAACCGTGCAGACATACATGTCGTCCTGCGGGCTCGCCATGATCGTGACAAACTTGCAGTAAGTCCCGTCATCGTCACTGAGATGCAATTTGACTTCGACGGGCGCGATGTAGACACCGCGCAACGACCACGTGATGGTGACATTGGGGAAGAAATGTGTGACCGCACACGTTACATTCGTCGCGTATGTATAGTTGGCGACGTTGATGTGGCAGTGATCGTCGGTTTCGTTGGAACACTCTTTGATTGTCGGGTATGGCTCTCTTGGTGCATCTACAAGTTGATGGTATGAGTTCGAATGAGAATGTATGAGATTAGGCGTACACAGTAGTAAGTATTTAATTTTTTTTTTAAAGGATCTTGTTCTCACTGGGGTAAGCACGTTATATGTCCCGTTCGCTCTCTGTCTGCCTGTCTATCAGCTGTAGTTCTCATTCTCTCACAATTTTTCTCTCTCACTATCTTTCTCTCTCACTCTCTTTCTTTCTTTCTCTGTCTGTCTCCCTCTCTCTCTCTCTCTCTCTTTCTACCCTTTTCTCTCACTCTCTTTCTCTCTCTCTCTGTCTCTATGTCTCTCTCTCTCTCACACACCTCCCCTCTCTCTCTCTCTCTCTCTCTCTCTCTCTCTCTCACACACACACTCATTCTCCCTCTTTCGTTTGTTTCCCTCTCTCTCTCTCTCTCTCTCACACACACACTCATTCTCCCTCTTTCGTTTGTTTCCCTCTCTCTCTCTATGTCTCCCCCTCTCTCTCTCTCTCTCTCCCTCTAAAACACACACACACACACATACCACCCCCGTAAAGTTGTTGACTCTTATGGTATATTGAAAATCATTAGTTTGACTTTTATCACCAAATAAATAACATCAGTAATCATGTCGATATCAGTCTCATCACCTTTTTTAAAAATCCTTATTATGCTTTTCACGATTTCTTATGTATTATTATTATGATTCTCTTTTTGCAATTAATATAGCAAACAGTTGCGCACATTTTAGTTTGATGATTCTTTAACTTTACTTGTCTGTCAAGAACGTATGTAAAGGCTTGTAAGTAAACATAAACAACCAGCCAGCGGAACGACTGTTTTAAGTCCTCTCCGAGTGACTTGGTAATGTGGATGCATTTCTTCCCAGAGGGCACTATAGCACATTCACTTGGTTTCGAACCCGGGACCTCCCGGTTACGATACCACTGGGCGACCACTGGGTCATCGCACCTAAAACCTTTAATACAATATTATTCATAAGTAAAAGGGATGCATTTAATCCAATAGGGCATTTAGAGGCAAATTATGGTTGATTTTATTCTATTTTGGAGAGGTAAGGCAGTGACATTGAACCCGATAAAAGGGTATTATTATGGGCAAACTAAATTTTGACTTTGGGTGACGTAGGACTGCTATAATGGGTGTGTACGCCACAGGTTTGAAATGGCAAAAGTAATGACACCGTCGAAATGACGCCTCGTATGCGCCTGGCACGCGAGGCGTCAGTTCGACTGTCACTTGCGCTAATAAAGTCTGTAAAGCTATTAGCGCAACCTTTAGTCAAACAAAGCAAATAATTACCCTATTCAATTTCTTATTCACTTTTTATATACGATTTCGCTCTCATAGGGAGCGTTGAAGACCGTACCGGCCGTTGACGCAATCCTGCGTCAGAAAATAACGCCTTGTGTGCAACTTACCGTTAACTGTGACTTGTGTTGTATTAAATAGTATAGTCGTCAGATCAATAGCATGTCCACAGCTGTAACCGCGAGCATCTGAGACAGAAATATTATTGATGGTCAAAACGAAATTTGTACCGTCCCCAGTCATGCCGTATTTTCCGTCCGATCTGTATAATGTTACACCGTCATTTACGTTCCACTTCGTGATAACATCAACGCCGGCAGTCCAGGTAACACTCGTTGGGCTTCCCGTCACTCGACAAGAGAGGGAGGCAGGTGAGTCCTCAACCCAGAACGTCACACTCCCTTGCACGGTAATCTCGCCAGCACATCCTGTGGAGTCGGGAGATAAAAAGAAGAAATGTGAAATGGTAAATCTATCCCATGATAAATACATCGTGGCCCAAGGAGATTATTTGTGTGCAGCATGTATACAGGGGTGAAAGCTTCGATTCTAAAAGGATCAATGGACCCTTATTTAAAGTGACTCGGTCACATTGCCTCAGATTCTGAAACAAAATCCTGGATTTAGCTCATGCTGCAATCATAATTATAAACCTTTAGGTAATAGTCGGGAATCCCATTACTTTTAAAAGCCGATCGCCTGTCTGATTATCAAGATGTTTATGATTGGAAATCAATTTTTTTTTTTTTCCTGACGGTTTTTATAACACTACAGTCTATTTGGAGAAATGAGTATGGTAAAACCGGTCATTCAAAGATGTTAACTTTTAATGAGGCACTTCATGATCATTTTAAAGCGCAATTTGTTTAGGACTTCAATATTACACCATATGACACTGATAACACGTAGGGCCATGCATCTCAATTTTAACATTGTTAAACGATGCCTTTAAGGACCTATTAAATGGTACATTTTACAATAGAAGAGATTGAAAGGAGTGCACTTTAAGAGAAATAAAAAAGAGGTCGCTATAAGAAGCACCTTTGGACACCCAAAGAGAGGGGAATATGCACGATATATGTCCTTGGGTACGCCGCCTGCGGTAAAAGTACAAATCATGTAAAGTAATCTAAGAGATAAAGACTAGAATACATTTCTAAGAATGATAACTGATGATAATGATAACAGCTTCACTTATTCAGCACTAAATGCTACTTTTCGAAGGCGTAGATCAATATCTTTATCACATACCGGCTCTCAATAAGCTGATATGATATGGCTTCCATTGCAGGCGTTTGAAGGAGATAATTCGTACCATGGATTTTTACTTTCCACGGTTTTTTAACCATAGATATATTCATTATAAATCGGCATCAATTTTCAATTTGTATAGATTATCACGGCTAAAGTGAGGTGAATATGGCACACTTAGATGCATTCATCGAGGCGTTATTCAACAAAGGACAATCATATTCTTTGAGAAAACATAAGTATTTTGGGATAAGGTCTTTTCAAAACGCTGGTCTTAGAAAGAACCCGGAAACGAAACCAGAAATCGCCAGCAAGACAGTGCAATTCGAAAGCCATTTGTTTGTCATATCATTTATATTGGACGAATTATTAGACCAAAGAATTTATAGTTGGTAAACATGTAATACACCTCCCCCTTAAAACAAGTGCTCCATAATTATTATTTCCAATACTACTGTTACCACTTATGTACCATACAAATACTACTACTATTACAACTTCTGCAGCTATTACTATTACTATATTTATACTACTACTACTACTACAACTACTTTTATTAATATACTAATACTACTATGTACTACTACTGCAACTTCCTCTCCTACTACAAGTACTACTATAACTACTTTTTCTACTACTTCTATTTTTACTACTGCTGATACTACTGCTGATACTACTACTGCTGATACTACTACTGCTACTACTACTACTTCTGCTACTACTACTACTACTACTGCTACTACTACTACATGAATTTCTACTACTACTACAACTTCTACTACTACTACTAAAACTACTACTGCTATTACTACTACATGTATTTCTACTACTACTACAACTTCTGCTACTACTACTAAAACTACTACTGCTACTACTACTACTACTACTACATGTATTTCTACTACTACTACTACAACTTCTGCTACTACTACTAAAACTACTGCTATAATCACTGTTTCTACAACTACTACTATAACCACTATTTATACTGTACTACTACTACTACTACTACTACTACTACTACTACTACTGCTGCTGCTGCTGCTGCTGCTACTACTCTTAATTCTATAACTACTATTTGTACTACCACTACTTCTATAACTACTATTTCTACTATACTACTGCTACTAAAACTTCTACTACAGCTACTAGAAGTTGTATGTCCACTTCCACTACAACCTCTGCTACTACTACTATTACTACTATATATACTAAGTTTCTTCTTGTTGTGCCACTGTGAACTTTTGAATAAAGAGTTTGACTTGTTTGTTTTTATTTCGGAAATCCATATATACATACAATTTTTAAAAACATACATATAAATCACATTTCAAATGATAAGCAAGTAAGTAAATATGAAAAGTATAGAAAACTCAGACAGTAGTAATTTCAATATAGGCCTATGGCCGCACATCAAGGAAAATGAACCCATTGGAGTATTCGAAAAAGAAGGGAGTAGATTAAACATCAGTAACGCATCGGTTTTAAAGGAAATATGTTTTTTTTTGTAAAGAAAAATAATACATGGCGCAAGGAAGGAGACGGAAAGACGGGGGCGGAGAAGAAAGAGAGAGAAAGAAAGGGAGAGTGTGTTTGAGTGGGGAGGGAGAGAGGGAGAGAAAAAGAGAGAATAAGTAAAAGGAGGGTAGACCAAGTTAAAGGAGGGTATATAGAGAGGCGTGAAACTAAAGTATATTTTACGGAAAGAAAGGTACATGTGGATATAGCCTTGACAAATAGAAAGAGAGAGAGAGATAGATAGAGAGAGAGAGAGAGAGAGAGAGAAAACAAAAACAAATGTGGGTATAGATAAGCAAGAAACTAGAGTAGGTATATTTTACAGAAGGAAAAGTACATGAGAATATAGCCTATAAACAGAGAATGAGAATGAGAGGGAGAGGTATGGAGAGAGAGAGAAAGAGAGAGAGAGGAGACAGGGGGTATGGAGAGAGAGGGAGAGAGAGAAGAGACAGGGGGAGGTATGAAGAGAGAGGGGGAGAAAAATAAAGAGATAGATAGAGTGGAGAGAGAGTGGGAAGGTATGAAGAAAGAGCGAGGGGGAGAAAGATCACGAGAGAGAGAGAGAGGAGAGGGAGAGAGAGAAAGAGATAGAGGGGAGAAAGATAAAGAGAAAGAGAGGAGAGAGAGAGAGGGGGCACTGAATGCCCTGAGAGGGATAATGTGGAGAAGATGATAATTATATTCGAAAGATGAATGAAAGGAGACCCGGGCTACGAAAAAATAAGACGCAGCCGGGCTGTAGAAAGAGAGATTTAGAAATAATTTAAATGAGAGAGACTAGAAAGAGATAGAGAAAGAAAGAGAGATAGAGTCGGGGAGAGGCAGAGAGAGAGAGAAAGAGATGAGAAAGAGAAGCACAGCGAGAGAGAGAGAGAGAGAGAGAGAAAAGGAGAGGAAAGAAGATAAATCAGGAAGAAAATATTGCTTTATTCATATGCCCATGACATGTGTATAGTGTATGATATCTAAAAACTTATTTTGTGTGAATTTCCAACCAAACAATTCCCTAAAACACCATTGAATATAGAAGCAAGATCTAGCTCTCATCCACATTTCTACCCTTTTGTGAACGTATAGAGAGAAAAGTTATTTTATAAAGAGAATTGAAATATCCAGACCCCAATAAAGTAGTTTGACAATCAAAAAAGAGAGTAGACAAATTTGTATAAGCTTTTATAAGTCACACTATTCTGCATCACTGTAAAGAAAACCTCAATCATACAGAACTTACCATTTACATAATCCGCAGTATTACTAATCAATATGCATCAAACTCACCTTTGAATGAAATCCAGCACACCAGCAGGAAGAAAATGTATTTCTTCGCCATATTATCCATCTTTGATGATGACGTGCCCGCTAATCCGGAGTTATCCCGAAATGTCTTTCAAACTCACTGGTATATGGCTTCGTTCGCCCGCCTAAATCTGCCTCTCACAGACATGCGTGCGTAGCCCAAATCAATTAATGGCGGTTGAAAATATATTATAGAAACCAAAGTCCATTAACAGATCTTTTTCTTCCTATCGTTTTTGTCCGCGTCTGGGGTTCAAGTGTAAGCATGATAGGTAAACTAAACACCACGTGGTTTACTTTTCATGTAAAAACAAATAAAGCAGTCTGATAAAATAATATAATTAGTCATGTTAGGGGGTCTATCATGGCTTATACAGTCATAAGGTATACAAAATGGCGTGGATATACATTCGCCTTTGAGAATCGTAAAAAACGAAACTGATGCGATTTTATCAGAGAGAAAATGGCCATGAAATTCTTCAGTCGACTTGAAAATTGAAACTTTCGGGTTTGTGTCAGGGAAATTTATTTCTTTTTTTTTAATTAAAAGATTAGATAAAGAGCATTGTTGGCACGTTTTTGCAAAAGGTAAATCTATAAACCTAGGCGACAAGACTTTATTTTCCGTTTTGCACTTACGAAACAATACCTGTAAGCAAACACGTAAGCAGGAGGTAATTAGAAGTTTCGATTAGATATTAAAGACAATATATCATTCAGACCTTCCTGACTCCTGAAGGTATGCCTTTATTGATTAGGTAATCTATTAGCAATTATGCTACTGCAACCACGCTCGTGACAATTAATTCTCAGATTTAGACATTATCTTTCGCACCCTAACTTTCACTTAAGATGACAGATGATTTACTTTCGTTAAAGAGAAACGTTCACAATCCTTTTTTTTATTGCTCACTCCGATTCAAAAAAAGAAATCCCATTCTTTATTTGGGTTTTCCATGAGCATCCTCGGTAATCATCTTGTGCGAAAGTGAACCTTATTGCTGTTAGACATGTTGCGCCATTTGACTGGCGTAGTACTGCGTTAGAGATTGGTGTTGCCTTTGACGCACCAAGTAACAATTGCATCGCACAGTAAGGAAATGCGAATGCACAGTGCAAAAAGCGCGTTGAATTACTGACGTATGGGCCTTAGTCAGGTGGCTTAGCGTCAAATTTATCGATTATCGTTACCGACCTGATACAAGAGCCAGATTTTGGTACAGGGCGCTCTTAGGACCTACTGAACGATATTGAAGAAGGAGCCCCTGGAAAAAGACATTCACATAAGTGTGAAGGGAGCAGGGCGTTGTACCGGAGCCCTCACATAATCACGTTGATTACAGTTAATTAAGGTAAGGGGTGTGTAGCCTCTTAAACTGATCTACATGGCAATGCCACCGTATTCTTACATTTTAAACATTGGAATGTGATACTAAATCAGTACCTTTTCTATTTGACATTGATTTAAGAAAAGAAGAAATAATACATGATTCATTATGCATGCGGAAGGGTTGGTTACAGCTATAAAAGCCCTCCTCCTAACACACTCTTTACACCATTTAATGTCCAACCAATCGAAGGCATGAACCCCTCATGATCCCTCGCCTGGAATTCAACAAATTGCAGCAGGAGGTTTTCATGCAAAATACAGGCCCCAAGGATGAACGATCAGCCAAGGAGTGGAGAGATCACATGCTGAAGAAGAGCCCTACTTTCATGTTCTCTGACCAGATCATGAAATATGAAGCCTCATACTCATTTTCATCAGAGCTCACAGAGAGAAACACTTCCCACTGTATGTGAAGGTCCTTTGCCTTAATTGGACCATGTGAACTATTCCAGGTAGACGCCTGTCCACTTTCGAGATATAGGCCCGAATTCACAAAGGAGGTTTGTCGACAAACCTTGGTTTTCGTGCTTCATATGACGCGTTTCGACGCGTTTTTACAAACCAGGGTTTTTTTTAAAACGCGTAAAAACGCGTCATATGACGTACGAAAACCAAGGTTTGTCGACAAACCTCCTTTGTGAATTCGGGCCATAAAGGCTTTACCAGCCACTGTCAAGAAGGAGTTCAACACTCACACTGGGTTCTTTCCAAAACATCAAACAAACTTTCTTTGCATCCTTTTGAAAAGGTCCATGAGCGAGAGAAAATGGCCATGAAATTCTTCAGTCGACTTGAAAATTGAAACTGTTGGGTTTGTGTCAGGGAAATCTATTTCTTTTTTTAATTAAAAGATTAGGTGAAGAGCATTAATCCTCATTTGGAGAAGACCTATGCTTTCTTAGCAGTCAGGTTAAATAAGCACCACTACACACTAGGCGACAAGTTTTTTTTTACGTTTTCACTTACGAAACAATGACTGTAACCAAAACGCAAGCAGGAGGTACTTAAAGACAATATATGATTCAGAATTTCCTGACTCTTGAAGGTCTGCCTTAATTGACTAGGTAATCTATTGGCAATTATGCTACTGCAAGCACGCCCGTGACAATTAACTCTTAGATGTATACATTATCTTTCCCACCCTTACTTTCACTTAAGATGACGGATGATTTATTTTCTTTAAAGAGAAACGTTCAGAATGCCTTTTTTTGTGTTACTCACTCCGATTAAAAAAAGAAATCCCATCCTTTATTTGGGTTTCCAGGAGCATCCCCGGTAATCATCGCGTGCGAAACGGTGAAACTTATTGCTTTACGACGTGTTGCGCCATTTGGCTGGCGTAGGGCTGGGTCAAAGATTGGTTGTTTTTTGTTGTTGACGCGGCATAGGACAGTTGCATCGTACAGAAAAGAAATGCGAATGTACAGTGCAAATAGCGCGTTGAATAACTGACGTATGGGCCTATTGACTTCACAGTCCTGATTAGCCTATAGCACAAGTAATAACGCAATCGTTTCACCATTGCGTCATTACTCAATGACGCAAGTGCGCAACGGGCATAATATCATGCATGACTGCACTTGAGTCTGGTATACCGTAGATATACATGCTTCAAACGAATAATAGCCTAGTTCCTATAATGTGGGGCAAGTGCCGGGCAAATGTCACCAGTACCAGTAGATTAACAGAAGAAAATTGATACCACATTTTCCCAAATTTGTTGCGAAAGACATCAACTGGTATTGCTCCTCGCAGATAGATATTCTGTCTGAGTTTCTTCAATCAGTTATAAGGCTGAAGCCTAGGAATGACTCTTTGGGTCATTATAACTTTGCGTTATATTGATTCATAGATAGAGTTGAGTTTACATAATACAAAGCAACGTTGGAAAGTCTGTCTTCTCGTTTTGCCACTGTGAATTTTTCAAGAAAGAGGCTGACTCGGACAGTGGTAGTTTCCAAATAGGCTCATGGCACTACAAGGAGAATGAAACCAGTGGCGTACCCAGCAATTCAGTGATATGGGGGTGATTTTTTTTGGAATTCCAGGAAGGGGAGCGGGGCTTAACCTTCATTGGCCTGAGATTGCATGTTTATTACCCCCCCCCCCCCCCCCCGAATAGTCGGTTCTATTTCTAAATATTTATTTGATTTGATTTGGTTTTACTTAATGTGACTTCGAAGTCTTACTGTAAGTTTTTGTGTTAAATTATTTGAAACATTTAACGGAGGTGGGGGGGGGGACTCCACATCATCCTGTATACGCCACTCAATAACATAAGCTCTTATCAATTATTACATGCACGCGTTAGGTCTCCAATAAATTATGAATATCGCCCACGTGCTGTTTATGGCCATTAATTGTTTGACATCACACTCTTGATCAAGGGAAAGAAAGAAAAAAGGAAATAAAGAGAGAAACGAGAAAAAAAACTGTGGAACACTCTATGTGAAAGACTTGTGCTTTATAGCAGGCGACATAACATGATGGTAGACGGTTAAATATTAATCTTGCAAGAGATAGAGGGATAGATAAGGAGAGAGAGAGAGCGAGAGAAAGAGAGAGAGAGAGAAAGAGAGAGAGCAATTAAGAGAGAGAGAGAGAGAGAAAGAATGTAAATATATATATATATATATGGATAGATAGATAGAGGCAGAGAGAATTGGGAAGGAGAAAAGAGAGAGAAACAAGCACTTTGAGGGAGAGAGATAGAGAGAGAGGGGGGAGGGGAGAGAGGGGAGAGGGGTGGTAAAAGAAAGAGAGTGTAAGAGAGGGAGAATGATGAGAGAATCGGCCAAAACGTATGCCTTAAAATTGGTATTCATTGAATCATGATCAGACGCTTGATGGTTTTATAATTTTGCACTACATAGCGGCTTAATGTATAACGAAGGTAATGGCAATACCGTCATATCAAATGTATAGTCACGACAGTCAACGCTCAAAACATACTGAATGGCAGTTACTACTGATATAATATATTTAATTGAGCCATTATACCCTACATACACCTTATGTTGACATACCAGGGTCTGGCCTTCACTTTATTGTCTTTGTCATTGATGAGTTTGAAGGATTTTTACAAGTCGAATCTATCGATTTTATTTGTCAAAATATATTATCGTGTTTAGTTCAATAAGGCGAATTTAACGCAAGTCTATGCTTTTAGATTTATGCTATCTTCCTTGTCTTAGAATTGTTAATGCTCTTAAGATTAATTTTGTCTTTATGTATGTACAACTTTATTACTTTTTGTTAATGGAAAACAGAAATGGAAGAAAATAAATGATACTCTGAACTGAACTGAATGAGGTGCATTGAGGAGTTACGACCAATTTGAGGGACGATCGCAATATGTTGATAATTTTATTTTGAAAGACTTGAGATGATAGAGAACATGATTAACCAATGATATAATATGTGACTCATCGTCTTTGCTTTTGTTCCAGAAGATTATCAACAATTATTAATGGACAAAATTCTTTGTGAATGATTCATTTTCAGCAATTCAAACACGTGGTTGTCACCCCCAGACCTCCTATCTATCGTTCATTCTATTCAAATTTAGCAAGTGTTGTTGGGAAAACACAGACAAGGAACGAAAGGAGATATCGAAAGGAAACACCCGCCCGCTGGTGGACTTTGTTATATTTGAGATGAGTCATGACTATTAAGTGGAATATAAAAGAAAATATTCATTGGATATTGACCTTGACAATTAGTTTGAACAGAATGGTGTTAATTGGGTGAATTCAGAGGCCGCGTTGTCTTAAATTTATAACATTTGATTTTAAAGTAACAATGACAT